CAGTTTCTTCTAATTGTCCACAAAGAGTATCAATTGGTTTACATCCAACTATCCAAGCATACCAGTCTCCTTTTAGGAACAACAATGCCCTTCCTTGGTCACTCCCATCCCAAGGAAATGCTTAGTATTTCCAAGATCTTTAACTTCAAAATCTTCTGAAAATACATTTGTAATTCTTCCAAATCATTCCCAGATAGAATAATATCATCGACATAGACTATTAATACATCAATTTTCCTAGCATGAGATTTCTTGACAAACAAAGTATGATTAGCCTGACTATGTATGTAGTTAAGCTTCAAAATCACCTTTGTGAATATGACAAACCAGGTTCAAAGGGATTGTTAAATGTCATACAAGGACTTCTTGAGTTTGCGAACCTGATTCTTTGCCAAACTTCCTTTGAAACTAAGTGGTATTTCTATGTAGACTTCTTCCTCAAGGTCACCGTTTAGAAAAGTTTTTTCTTTTTACGTCCAGCTGTTGCAATCACAAATCTTGGTTGACAGCTAATTAGTAATGAGTGAAGAATTTTGATAGTGTTTAGCTTTTCAATAGGAGTAAAATTTTCTTGATAGTTTATCCCATGGCAAGTGTTTGTTACTTATAAGAGAAAATATAATACTTATGAGGAAAAATGTAATACTTTTAAATCAAAATAATAAAATATAACATATTTCATTTTCATCTTGACCCTGTTGAAAATAAAGAGTTAGTTTTATTTATAGGGTTGTGTCTGTTTATGAATAGGTGTCAGTTTATGAATAGGTATTTACAGTTTTGTATTTGTGTATATATATGTACTGTGTTTCTGTATTAGAAACAGATATATACCAATATAATTTCAGTTTTATATTCATTTCCTAGTCTTGATTCTTCATATTGCTTCCGCCTAACTGGCGGGTGGTATTATTCTCCACCCGCCAGGCCATTCCATCTTCCAAATTCAACATGGTATCAGAGCCTACTTTCCTAGGGCATTCCAAACATCAAAATTGTTTTTCATTGCATGAACAGTAAAGTTACTGTTCACGCAAACCCTAATTTTTCAAATTACTTGCTTTTGGTGAGTTCTTTTGTCAAATTGGTGTCACCCATCCTTTCTACTGTCTCCGGCGAGCCTGACCCAGCAAGTGGTATCGCCATCTCCTCCCCCACGCGCCTCCACGCGCCGCCGCCATTGTCGGACTCCGATCGCACGCGCCGGCGCGTGAGGCTGTCTCCGGTGGCTTTTTCTGGCGAAACTCTCCAGTTCTGCTCGTCGGCTCTCCTCCATTCCTTCTGTGCATATGATGTATTTTTCCGGTGAAAATTTTACAGATTGTTGTTTTGCCCTTCTTTGGACATGTTGGTGAAGTTTTAATGCTTTTTGGGTTTGTTGCCAACTTCTTTCCGGGATTTTTTGGTATAACTGTATTCGGTATACCATATTTATTCCCTAGGGTTTTCAAGTTTGGTACCTTTTGTTTATTTCCGGAAGTCTCTTTTGTTATTCACTTATCCTATAAGGGGTATAAACAACAATCATATGTGGTGCTCTCGGTATTCATACTTCACTCTTTGGGTGTATTTGTCATTACTTTGGTGCTCTTGTTGAGAGGTTGGAGTGTGGTGGGAAAGGGCTACCTGGAAGAGGGCTACCCGCTACTTGATAAGGTTCAAAGGAAACCGAGAAGAGTCCGGAGTGAAAGCTATCCAAAGTGAAGCCGTCCACCCATCCGGTGCCGGTCTAGCGGAGGGGGCGACCTAGAAAAGGGCTACCTGGTACTTGATAAGGTCTGGAGTGAAGCCATCCAAAGGGGAAAAGGGCTACCTAGTGCCGAGAAGAGTCCGGAGTGTGAGCCATTTAGAGTAAGTTGCCGCGGATCTGCCGCGGATATCGGCTTCTCAAGGGAGTGCTTATGTTGCTGTGTGGGTATTCGTGTTAATCTTGCCCTCGGTGCCTTCATTCCCAATGGTTGTGTATAGCATTGTTCCTCCGAAGCCATCCCACACTGTTAATCTCTAGCTGCTTTTAGTCTTCATTTGTAATTTAAAGTAAGGTAGAGTGTATGTTTTAATCCAAGCTTGAAACTTCCAGATGTTCAAGCTTGAGGGGGAGTGTTGAAAATAAAGAGTTAGTTTTATCTATAGGGTTGTGTCTGTTTATGAATAGGTGTCAGTTTATGAATAGGTATTTACAGTTATGTATTTGTGTAATATATGTACTGTGTTTCTGTATTAGAAACAGATATATACCAATATAATTTCAGTTTTATATTCATTTCCTAGTCTTGATTCTTCATATTGCTTCCGCCTAACTGGCGGGTGGTATTATTCTCCACCCGCCTGGCCATTCCATCTTCCAAATTCAACAGACCCAACCCGTCACGGATAAGGATTCATAAGACGGTCTCACACAAGTTTTTGCCATTAAATATTTGTGTGTGTGTGTGTATTTGTGTGTGTGTGTATATATATATATATATATATATATATATATATATATATATAAGGATTCAGGGTTGGGGCGGGTGTACAATCCCTGTCTGAGCAGGGACCAGGTTTCCCCATTATTGGGGTCGGGTTGAATTGACATTCCTACTCGTCTCGCTCCATCAAATGTGGGTACTCACTCTCAGTTTCTAATTTTATTCATATGGTTCAACCCATCTAATAAGCCCGATAGCCCTAGGTTGGTTTAGGGTTAGGGCCAACCCAAACCCGAAAATAAAATAATAAAATAACTGATTAGCCTGAACAAGTCAGACAGGACTAGCTTGAAACCGAGCGGACTGGCACGATTGACACCTGTAATACATGGTATGTTTTTCATTCCTGGTTGATTCTTCGTTAATTCTTGCAGATGTCACCCACAAATATGACAATAGGAGAAGAAGTTCTTGAAAGCCGAGGATTAAATTTTGATGGGTACCTATATTGGGTATCAATTGGTGCTCTATTTGGCTTTACAATACTATTTAACCTTGGTTTCACATTAGCCTTGAGTTTCCTTAAACGTAAGTTCACATATCTATTGTATTTGAGATGAAACTACAGAACAATTTTAGTATAGTTATTCAATTCCAATATCCATGCAGCCCCAGGTTCACGTGCTATTATTTCAAAGGAAAAATTCTCAAAAATACAAGGAAGTGGAAAATCACTTCATAAAGTGCCTGTTGAAGAAAAAACTTCTGAACCTTCTAATCCAGGTTTTGTACTTTTTCCTTTTGTTTATTTCTTTTGAATTGCCTTATGATTCAAATTTATTTTCTTCTTAAAAAAAGTCTTTTTTCTTGTCTTCTGCAGGCCGAGTGATTTTGCCTTTTGAAGCCTTAAGTGTAGTTTTTCAAGATGTTCAATACTACATTGACATGCCTGTGGTAATGGAACATATATACCACTCTCATTTGACAATGGATTGTATCTGGAAAGATCATTAAGGCCAGATTCATTGGTTGATTTAATCCTCTTATATCTGTTATTCTGTTTTTAGGCAATGAAGGAACGCGGTTTCACTGAAAAAAGACTACAACTTCTTTCCAACATCACTGCTGCACTCAGACCTGGTGTTCTTACTGCTCTTATGGGTGTCAGTGGTGCTGGAAAAACAACTCTTCTTGATGTTCTTTCTGGTAGAAAGACTAGTGGTATAGTGGAAGGAGAAATAAGGATTGGAGGGTACCCTAAAGTTCAAGAGACATTTGCTCGAGTTTCTGGTTACTGTGAGCAAACTGATATACATTCTCCTCAGATTACAGTAGAAGAATCAGTTATCTTTTCTGCTTGGCTACGGCTTCCTCCAGAGATTGATTCCAAAACTAAATCTGTATGGCTGTCCATTTCTATGCTACATCAGGATTGCCCTATTATTTTCTGAACCCATTTTGTGTCAGTGTTGTAACAATCGGCCTAGGTAGCCGCCTGGCGCCGACTAGGCACCCCTAGGCCAAGCCGATTTCAGCCCTTGGTGACGTTTAGTCGGCCGGCCGATTAGGCACCTAACTCGGTCGAGTGATTTTGTTTGCCTGCTCGGTTGCTCCTCTTCTATATTCCTCCAGCCATGTACTCAACTAACCATCTAACATATGTAGTTGACTAGTTCGGGGGATTATAATAGTCTAACAACTCACAGCCCTGAGTGAGAAAAGTGAAGATGGTATATTCGGCTGCTTAGGCGCTCTAGGAGCTAGGCTCCCCCGGGCGCCCGACTAGACTAGCGCCTAGTGCCTTCTGCAACATTTTTTTGTGTATACAATTAATTCCAATATGATATGATTGTCCTTGGGTGTGTATGTAGGAATTTGTGAAGGAAGTGATTGAGACAATTGAGCTTGACGGAATAAAGGACATGCTGGTAGGCATGCCTGGTATCAGTGGTCTTTCAACAGAGCAACGCAAGCGGCTCACAATTGCTGTGGAGTTGGTTGCGAACCCCTCGATCATTTTCATGGATGAGCCTACAACTGGGCTTGATGCAAGGGCAGCTGCAATTGTGATGCGTGCCGTAAAGAATGTGGTTGGCACAGGAAGAACAATTGTTTGCACCATTCACCAACCCAGTATTGATATATTTGAAGCTTTTGATGAGGTAATAAGTAATTGTTAATTTAGAAAGCATGAGAAGATGAATATTGATTGATTGATTGCTTTAACATTTAATACTACACTTGTTCAAAGTACACATTTGTTTCTACTATTCTTTAGCTTATTCTCTTGAAAACCGGTGGGAAAATGATCTACTGGGGACCGCTGGGTTGGCATTCTTGTAAAATGATTGAATATTTTGAGGTCAGTTTAATTTGCCAGATCTGTTGTACACTTTCCATGCTTTTCCATTGTCCATTTACTGAAACAATTAAGTCTTAACAGGGTATCTCTGGTGTGCCAAAAATAAAGGATAATTATAATCCAGCAACATGGATGTTAGAAGTCACTTCAACATTTGCAGAAGCTGAACTTGGCTTAGATTTTGCAGAAATCTATCAAAAATCTTCTTTAAACAAGTGAGTCTGATAAAATAAAGAGCTTCAATTAAGACTTAATTCTGGATTTAGTACTTTGACTATCACTTATTTCCAATTTTAGTCTTTGACTTTTAAAGCTACCAAATTTAGTCCTTAACAGGGCATTTGGTTGGGAGGAGGGAATTAGGGAGGAAAGGAATTGTGATTCTGTGGGAAAAGAATAAGGTGAGAATAAAGTAGGAATTGAAATTCTATTGTTTGGTAGGGAGGAATAGAATTATTGAGAATGGGAAGGGAAGAAGTGATTTTACGACTAAAATTCCCTTGTGTAATAATAAAATAATAATAATAATCAAGGGCAATTCAGTCATGTTCCTATTTTTTCCTTTCCCAGCTGCTGCCAAATTGCAATTCCTCCCTCCAACCAAACAATGTAGTTTCTCATGCCAAAGAATTACATTGTAGAAGATTTACAACCAAACACCTTGTAAGTATTGAGTCATTTGCAATTGTAATCCGCCATTAGCTTTTCCCTGTGTAAATCATTAACATTGAGGATAAAATTGGAAAGTTATGACCATTGAGTCAATTGTTTTTCACACGCCATAAACAAAGCCATAATTTCCTTATTCTAGTACCCCTAATTTCACCGTACCCTCAATGTTAAGCGTTGTTCACACAGGAAAAAACTTATAGTGGATTACAATTGGAAATGATTCAATACTTTATGAATGATGAATGATAGTCAGAGGATTAGCTACCTCCAGAATTAACTCTTCAATTAATTCCTGATTCATTCTAAAATATTTCTGAATTACAATTGCACCTGAATATTGGTAGAAATAACAAAGAACTTGTAAAGATGCTGAGCGTTCCACGTCACGGCTCAAAGCAGTTGCATTTTCCCACCCCCTTTTCACAGAAGGGGTGGGGCCAGTTCAAGACCTGCCTTTGGAAGCAGTATTGGTCTTACTGGAGGAGTCCTTCCTACATCTTGATGCGATTCATTCATATGCTCATCACATCTCTTCTTTTAGGATTGTTGTTTTGGGACCAAGGCAAGAAAATGTAAGAATATTATACTTACTAGCTGCTCCGTCCAAGATTTGATTATATCTACTCTCAAAGGAACTATTAATCCTTTTGTTTTCTTGTGGAATTAATAGAGAAAACCAGCAGAGCTTGTTGAATATACTTGGTTCAATGTTCACTGCAGTAATCCAATGTGGGATAAACAATTGCTCAACAGTTATACCATATGTCAGCACAGAGAGAACTGTCTTGTACAGGGACAGATTTGCTGGGATGTATGCTTCATGGGCTTATGCATTGGCACAGGTATAAACAGTGTTGTAAAAATTAGCCTTGGTGGCTGCCTAGGCCAAGGCGATTTCAGCCCTAGGCGGCTTTTAGTCGGTCGGCCGACTAGGCACCCTAGGCGCCGAGTTGGGCGCCTAATTCGGCCAAGTGGTTTTTGGTTTTTTTTTTGTCTGCTTGGTTGCTCCTTTTATATATTCCTCCAGCCATGTACTCAATTAACCATCTAGCATATGTAGTTAACTTGTTTGGGAGATTAAGACAATCTAACAACTCAGTAACTCACAATCTTGAGTGGGAAAAGTGAAGATGATATACTCGAATTACTAAACTACTTAGGTGTTGTCTAGGCACTAGGCGTCCCCCGGCCGCTCGACTAGTGCCTAGCGCCTTTTGCAACATTGGGTATAAATACCTCAACATGTTCCTTATAACATTCGATCTAATGAAACTCCTAATATTGTCATATATAGGTTATCGTCGAGATTCCTTATCTGTTTGCTCAAACAGTTGTGTTCACGGCTATCACATATCCAATGATTGGATACTACGGGTCAGCACACAAGGTTTTGTGGTACTTCTATGCCATGTTTTGCACGCTGCTGTACTACAATTATCTGGGAATGCTGCTTGTCGCCATGACTCCAAGCTTTCACATAGCTGCAACTCTGCAATCTCCTTTTTACTCCATGTTCAACCTCTTTGCTGGATTCATGATTCGTAAGCCAGTGAGTACAAGAAATACTTTCTATTATAAGAAACTTAAGGCATTACTGCAAACAATCATTTTATATATGTTCATAATCTTGCAGCAAATACCCAAGTGGTGGGTCTGGTTTTACTATTTAATCCCTACATCTTGGTCCCTAAACTGCATGCTTTCTTCGCAATATGGAGACGTAGAGGAGGAGATCATGGTTTTTGGAGAAAAGAAAACAGTGGCAGCCTTTTTGAGGGATTATTTTGGGTATCACCATCATCAATTGCCCATTGTGGGTGCAATGCTGATTTTGTTCCCACTTCTTTTTGCCTGTTTATTTACACTTTGTATTCAGAAGCTGAACTTTCAAAGGAGGTGAATGATGAAAATTCAATAATCTGACTCATTATTTATGTTTATGCACAAAAACATGTTCAAAAATCACTTTTATTATGATGTTTTAATGTTTTAATTTTAAGGAATACTGTGTTTTCAATACATTATTTGGATCAAGCCTAGTTTCAAACCCAATTAGAGAGATAATAGCCATGCGGCCCATGCAAGTTACATCTTAAAGGCCAAGAAGTGTCAGCACTGTTTTATTTGCTTTGGAGCTTATTTTGATGTACTTTAGGTCCCTAGGTTGTGCCAACTTGTAGGCCTAGAAAGTGGAAGAAGTGTCTTTAATTTTTCAGCACATTTTTCTTATGTTTTGGGACATACTTGGGTGTATTTTAGGCCTCTAGGTTGTGGCCACTTGTAGGCAAGCCCCTTTTGTGTCCTATCCTAGCCTAACTTAGTGGCAATTCAACCCGCCTCCGACAGGAAAATCAATCTCAGTCCTGACGGGGAGCTATTTTGGGAACGAGGACCCCATTTCCCGCCTCACCCCGTTGTCATCCCTAGCTTAACTTATTAGTTTTGAATGCCCTAAAAGCCTACCCTAGCCTTAGTTATTTGAAAGTCCAATTATTGGGTTTAAGAGCAACATTATCAATGAATATTGTGAGGAAAATGTCAAATTAAATCACTCATGCTCAAGATTATAGCAAATGTGGAGAAGAATTAATTGGGAAAGAATGGGCCTGCAAAGGCCAAAAATAATGTCAGAGCGCGGAAATGAGGAGGGACATCTGCTGTGCGCAGCAGCAGCCCACACGGACGCGTCAGGCGCGTCTATAAACCTTCTGTTTATTTTATTTTATTTTTTTTACAATCAACTTTAGTTTTTTTTTTTTTCTTTTTTCTCTCCCCACCCATCTTCTCTTTTCTAATCACACTTACAAAATCTCCTCAAAAACTACAAAATAACTCCACTAATGTGGATGCTCCAAGTCCTGATTAGTTAGGCCAATTAGAGGGATAGACAACATAAAGCCTAAACCTATACATTTAGCCCTTATTACTACATTCAAGAGAAGTTTGCCTCTTTAAAAACTAAGATTAAGTGTTGAATATTCTCTACTTCTCTTGTTCGACTTGGAATTGGTAATAATCAAGTTAATGTTCAAGATTGGCAGAGACTAGAGACAAGTCAGACAACGCAAGCTCTACAAATTTTGAAGGTAACCCTCTTACATTAGACTAATTTGTAAGACCAGGTTGTTATCTTGTGATTGTTATTTGTTTAAATCAACTATTTAATTTTTACTATATAAGTTCCTCAACTATTTAATTCTTACGCAATAAAGTAATTGTTAAACCTTATTGAGTAAAAATTGAATAATTGAGGCCTTAATTTGAGAAAAATTAATAGTCAATGATTAATTTTTGAATTATGACATAATTGATATACGATTTTAGTTATTAACTCAATAGTCAATACAAAACTAAATCACTTTGGGTACAGAATTAGATGCATGAGAGATCATCTGGCCACTTTAGTGTATCTTTAAGAGTTGATAAAAAATTGTGCAAGTTTGACATAAAGTCCTAGTATGTTAATAAGAAGGCATTGATTTTATAGTTAAGAGTTTGATTTTCTTAATTTCAAATATACACTTTATGAAAATAGAAAATACTTAATTTTTTTTTTGTTTCAAAAAATAAACCCAAATAGTATAAGAAAAATCATCGATGATAGACATAAAAAATGTACAACTTTCTAGAGACGGGACTTTAGTCGGTCCCTATAAATCAGAATGCATATATTCCAATACATCTTTGGTACGGTGTGTAGCATTAGAGAAACTAACTCTCTTTTGTTTCTCAAAACCACAATGCTCACAAATTTGTAATTTACATGTACTTGAATTACCTAAGAGGCCTTTCTTACTCAGGATATGCATGTCCTTCTCACTCATATGCCTCAGATGCATATGCCATAATTGAGTGAGATCCGCATCAGATATCGATGAGGAGAGTGCTACTGAACCTGTTATAGTACTACCATGCAGAACATACACGCTTTTAGAATGAGAAGCTTTCATTAAAACAAGAGAACCTTTAATTACCTTAAAAACTCCACCTTCAATTGTGTACTTGCACCCCAGAGATTCCAAGGTGCCCAAGGAATATCATGTTCCGTTTCAAATTAGGAATATACTGAACATTGGTAAGAGTACTGACAACGTTATCATGATGAGTTCTAATATGAACACTTCCAATTCCAATAACTTTGCATTGGGTATTATTACCTCTTCAAGACAACTCCACCAACAATTGGTTATAGAGAGATGTACCAGTTTTTATGAGGGCACATGTGGACTGTACAACCAGAATCTCCTCAGTTTTGCTCTGTTTGTTACTGGAGTTAATGGATAATAGAACATCACCTTTTGAATCACTTGTAACAAAACCAGCTTCATCGGACTTCTTTTCTTTCTCTCTTGTTTGTTCTTCAGTTTAAAGCATTCAGACACATCATGCCTATGCTTCTTGCAGTACTTATAAGATTTGTTAGACTTTAGTCTACTGGACTTAAATTTTTTATTTTTATTGTCCATCTAAGGTGACAATTGTCCTCTAACAGACAAACCTTCACCTTTCTTCTCGGAATAAATTTCTTTGTCAAAATTTTCTTTGGATAATAGAT